CGGTGTTTCGGAAGCATGATCCAATGTTTTGAACGAGTGTTTGCATGTGAGAATCAACTTTCATCTTGTGGGATATGCGTGAGTCAGTAGCGACCACAGTTTTTGGGTTACTAACGAAGCGATTTCAATGAACGCATAAGAATTAATCCAACTCACTTCATCCATAACATCAGGTCCTAAGTTGCAAATATCAATTTTCTCGAAATTACACATGAAATCATCGAATGACATCCTGAAATGAAAAAAAAAACAAATCCGACCGAATACTACATAAGTATCAAATCACAGGTACAAAAGAGACTTATTCTCCATCATATGCGAATTTCAAACTCATCTCATCTTTTAAAGGATTTCAAAATTGATCTTCAAACGATTAAGTACGTCATATAACGCTTATGAAGATGGCATTCAGATTGCGAAGCACCTGTTTACAGCAAATCATTTCTTTTACTGAACAAGTTTAATCACAAAAAATTCAAATTTCATGATTAAATGGAGTGATTAAACCGTAAATACCAACCAAAATTCTCCATCATATGCGAAATCCAAATCCATCTCGTCTTTTTCCTGTTGCGATATACTCTGCCATTCACGCGAACCATCTGACCAGGGTCCTTTCCATTCGCATTCATTACCCCATGGATTACGAATACGTAAGAGTGGTATACGACCACGGCGCCCATTCACCTGAAACTGAGAAGCTGAATCATTTTCATAGACGAAACACTTGCAAGAAAGGAATCTTCGGAGCTACGAAACTGTGAGTGATTGCTGTAATCAACTGCGTTGAAATAGAAGTAAGTTGAACGATATAAAAGTCTTCACAAAATGAACAAACAAAAAGAGTAAAATGCAGAGGAAAGGACCAACAATGCGCATTCCAGTAATACCGTACGCATGACCCTTAACCAATCCATTGGGCGTTTGTGCTAGCCACGTGAATGGATCAGCCTTCAAACAAGACAATCAAAATGTATAATTCCATAGAAAATGAAACACAAATGCATGAGAGAATCAGTAAACGTAACCGGCAATCCAAGGCAGAATAACAGTTAAAACTGAAAACAGTCAGTAAACCTCAATGCAACATCCGAA